TCTGTCCGCTTTGTTTTCCTTCCCTCTCCTAGTTCCTCATCTGCACAAGCTACATTGTATACTTTATTATTCCCAAGGTATGGTAAAGTTTGCCCTGTAAAAAATAGGTAACTCTCAATCAAGTTTAACTTCCTGTTCACTAAATTCTCTGACTCTTAAATAGGACTTAAACGGTTTTTCCATAGCTTATCCTCGGACTCTTAAATAGGAACTGAAAGAGGCTCCCATTAGCTTTATCCTATCTCTCTTAAACGTGTTAAAAACCTTTCTATTAGCTTATCCTGTGAATCGTAAAAAAAATTTGAACGGTTTCTAATATTTTATCCTTTGCCTCTTAAATAGGACATGAACGGTTTCCTCATAGTTTATCCTATGACTCTTAACTAATATTTGAAAGAGGATCCTATTAGCTTTTTATCCATTTACTCTTAAACACGTCTTAAAGCCTTTTTATTCGCTTATCCTTTTATCGGATTTGAAATTTTCCTTAACACCAAATACAGAATATTGTTTTCCTAATCTTGGAGGTTTTTGTAACAAACAATGTTGAATACACACTACCTCTAATTGGATATCAAAACACAACATTACAAGAAAGAAGTATACAGGAACAATGTCTAGAATATCATAAATATTTAGAATTAGTAAACATTCATTGCCTGTAAAGTGATACAACGTGAATTATGCTCTCCACTTCCGATCCAGTTAGAAGGCAGAGTTTTTATAGATTCCTCCTGCATTGACTCATGTAATGGATCATTATATTAAATGCGAAGAGAGTGAAATATTTTACGATAGTTTCCTGATATTTTAGTCAGTACTCTTGTATAATTTAAAACTAAACACTTACGTTCCCTCTGGGCTTTTAGAACTATCGGGAAGGGAGTTCTCTTAAATATAAACTTTAATCATTGTGATAATGCCGTCGGGCGAATTAATAATAATGATGCAGAGAAAGTTTACTTATCCTAGTACGATACATTTTCGTTTATTAATCCTTCTAGGATACATTATCCGAGGAATCAAATTCTACTTTAACTCCAGGTAGTATAAAAACTAGGAAAAGCTCAGCCACTGGTCCGCGCTATCAACAGAAGAACGTGGAACAATTACGCCACAAATACTTCAATGTCAGACTTACTGGAAAACTAAAGCAACGTAACAGACATCTTACCATCTTTGTTTTATCACATTCCTAATACTATGTGATAACACTGACTGCCTGACCTATTTTCCATCAGGAATTCTGATTGCTGGCTTCATTTTACAGATCTTCTCTTCAGCTAGAAGCAGATAAAATTAGTAGACTTAATGAAGGCGGAAAGCTAGCCTAGACTGAAATTCACAAAACCTAAACCAATTTTCTGTCTAAAATACATCAAAAAGCTCTGCACAAGACTTAAACCAGTTGTCTGTCTGAGACACCAAAGTTTAGCTTAAGACCTAAACCAGTGATCTGTCTCAAATAAATCATAGAGTTACCCAGGACCTCATCCAGTCTTCTGCGTGCAAGACATTACAAGACTGCCTAAGTCCTTATCAAGACATCATAAGTTTACCCAAGACCACACTTAGGTATCTGTCTGAAAGACATTATAAATTTACCCAAGACCACATCCAAAAATATGCCTGAAAGACATTATAAATTTACCCAAGACCACATCCAAAAATATGCCTGAAAAACATTATAAATGTATCCAAGACAAGTTCCAACAACATGGTTGAAAGACATTATAAATCTACCCAAGACAAGTTCCAACAACATGGTTGAAAGACATTATAAATCTACCCAAGACCACATCCAAACATATGCCTGAAAGGCATTATAAATTCACCCAAGACTACATCCAAACATATGCCTGAAAGACATACAGGGTCAAGAAGACTAGCTTGCTACTTATTAATTTTTTTCGGTTTTATGAATAAGCGAATACACAATGTAGGAGCTTGCTTTAATCGAAAAACAGTGATATTTAATACGTTTTTCATTGTCGTTTTTATGTATTTTTAAGACACTGTTAAAGATATGATTTCTTATCAGGTTTTCTATATTTGTGCACATTTTACAACCATACAGAAGTGTTTCCTCTGAACAACTATGTACATACCCTTCTCAAATCCTGTAAACCACTTGTACATATCCTTCTATAATTGCTGGCGTTTCCATTCTTGTAAACCATCTTGTAAAAATCATTTTATAACTGTGCTGTTTACATTGCTGTAAACCACCTTGTACATTATTTTCTATAATTAGGCTGTTTGAATTCCTGTAAACCAACTTGTAAATATCCTTCTATAACTGCACCATTTCCATTCTCTTGTCACCATCTTGCGGTTTTGTACTTCTTGTTCACCTTTAAATCAGCCATTTATTTAATTAAGAAAGGTGCGGATTTTATTTCATTCCTTGGGAGGTTGAAGAAAGTACACATCTAAACATATTGCTTTCTTCTCCATTCGTTTATTAGTTGAAAAAGACACAGTGACACCTTCAGCACCATGGGTCTTATTACATTCTTTAGGAGGTTGAAGAAAGTACACAACTGAACACATTGCTTTCTTCTCCATTCGTTTATAAGTTGAAAAAACACACTTTGAGCACAATGAGCTCTTTTCTTAAATATTGTAATTTTTCTTTTTCTTAGCTACAATGACCTGAAGAAGGTCTGTGCACAATTAATGAAACCTCTTCCACCTTAAAATAAAAACAAGACAGAAGCTGCACATAGAAACTGTAACCTTATGTATATTATGTTGACTATACAAAAACAAACAAAAAAACAATTATCTCTATTTATGAGAATCAAGTTCCGCCTAATTTTCTTTTTGTCTTTTTCACGTACCAGCAATAGATGTGATGCGAAGTAGTTAAATCGAAAAACCTGTTGAACTAGTCAACTTCGCGGAAAAATACACGGGTTATGAGACGACGCAACCAAAGGGAAAGTAGAATTCATTTTGTCTGATGATTTTCATAAGTACACGTAAATTAACTACATTTGTGCTCGTATATTATATGCGTTTGATAATTAATTAATCAGCGTCATAGCTTGTCAATTTTACTTTATGGGCGGAGCTCTTTTCCTTGCACCACGCTCCCCAGTGGCACAGCGGTATGTCTGCGGACTTACAACGCTAGAATCCGGGTTTCTATACCCGTGGTGGGCAGAGCAAACTTACGTTCAGAAGAAAGGTGGTGCAAGGTTTGTTTGTTTGTTTTGAATTTCGCGCAAAGCTACACGAGGGCTATCTGCGCTAGCCGTCTCTAATTTAGCAGTGTAAGACTAAAGGGAAGGCAGCTAGTCATCACCACCCACCGCCAACTCTTGGGCTACTCTTTTACCAAC